AAGAAATCTAATCCTATAACCAGGGTTGAAAAGCCGCTTCGCGACTTTTCAACCCTGGCCCCGTCCGAGCCCATGAGATTATTCGCATTGCATAATTCGCCGGAATTTCGATGAGAAATAAAACTGCACTCTCTCTGCCGTTATATAGGCTGCCGCCACTTCCGGCGTATGCTAATTAATTTCTAGCAAAGAGGTCGCCGGATTTTTTAACAAAAACTTAATTTTAATGTCGAAAATAGCGTAATTTGCAAAATCTGATATGCGTGCAGTCATCTCGGGGCCATTACGCACCTAAAGACGTATCATACGTAGCTTAAAGGGATGCCGACGGCATAGTCAATAGGTTACGCGCGGAAAAGAAAATGTCTCTGTGCCTCTCCCCTGGGCGCGCTCTCTCCCCTGTTGGCTATTTGCCAATTTGTTGATGAGGGGGGATCGACACATGCCGTCGGCAGCCCTTTAAGACCCTTTCCTCTTTGAGTTATCCTCCGGACAGTCTGACGGAAGTTGCATGCAAAGTGTCACACACAGACACTATTTTTTTTATATATACAGGGTGAGGCATATATATGGCAACACTTTCCCGGGCCTCTCAAAAAATGAAGAAAGCTGGCTGGACTTCAATAATTTGCCGAAATATAGCCACCAGTGTCCTTTAACCACTCTTAAAATATTAGAATGCAGCAACCCTACAAACTTTTGTTCTAATGCAAAAACTGTGCGTCGTAAGGGTGGCGCTGGCACGGAACCCCTTGGAAGCCAATTTCAGCATGGTTCAGAAACGTCGTTTTGGCCGCGAATGGCCCCAAAAAACATGTGTACCGCCTAGTAATGACAAACAAAGGGAATTAAAACAATTCATTTCCTTTAAGTAGGCAGAAATTTTAGAATTGTTCTCGGCTAGTCCCAAAAATCATAGTAAAAAAAAGCAAAATTGGCTTTTTTTATCTTTAATCGGTGAATTGCTTGGTTTCAACATCTGCAATTGGTTCAATCCGATGCTTACAATGTAAACAATTGCTTAGATAAAGCAATACAATTGGAGGTTTTATAATTAATTTTTAGTGGTCAACGTAAGGGTTGTGAGGGGTGGGTCAGCGCGCGTTTTTTGAATATAGCAAAATTCCCCCGCCAGTTCCCGATTAAAAGAATCTTGGTAAAAATAAATACGATCAAACTAAACTTAAATACAAAACCATGGAGCAGGGCTACCAATATCCGGGGTTCTAGGAGCAGCGTGCCAACACACTGCTTTTTCGACAAAATCGCTAAACTTCCCGCTGCTATAAATCAAAAATTAAAAATTTTGCAACCGTTTTGATTTGTCTCCTCCAGAAAGAAACGCTAGTTCTTCTATGGGTAACATCCAATCCCCCGAAAAAATAATTAGTTTTCCGATAGCAGGCAAATTAGTATGGTCTGGGGGTGTTCCCATATATATGCCTCACCCTGTAGTAGGATAGCCTAAACCGCCATCTGGAGTAACGCGTTGTTGTCGAGTCCTAGCAGATTTGGGGTCGATTCATGCCTTTTATAATCCTTTAGAAATTGGCATAATTCGTTTTTTTAGTAAAAGCCGAATCCGAGCGCCTGCGCGCCATGGAAGCGGAGCGAACCCGGGAGCTGCACGCGAAGAAGAAGGAGCTCGAGAGACTGCAAGAGCAGATCCGGCAGAAAAAGCAGGAGCTCCAGGAGCAAGAGAGGCATATTCAAAGTCAGCTGACCACCACGACAAGCACCACCACCAAACGGCCCGCCAGCGAGGAGTCTTTTGAGTCGGTGGGTGTCGTAAATAAGCGTAAAAATACGAAAAATGCCACGCGACAAATTTTCGTGCGAATCCATAGCCTGCAAAATCTTTAGCCCTGCCTTGCCCGGTCCTTTCAAGAGATTTTCCAGGTCGACGAAGAGGAGGATGAGGCGGAAGGGCCCCTACTCGAGCAGAAGAATCGTAAGAAGAAGACGAGAAGGCCGGTGGCAGCTGGGGTACGGTGTAAAGGGCAGAATTTTGAATGGAAGCTTTTGTAGGCGCGTCCCTTGCCAGAAATTCCGGACTCGATGAGGCCCGCGGCGAGCCCGGTGATGAACCATGTCGAAGTTGAGCCGCCAATCATCACGAAACGGCCTGGTCCGAGTGCTGTTGAGGTAGAGAGAGAGAGAGAGAGAGAGAGAGAGAGAAAGAAATAAAGAGCGAAAGAGAGAGAGGAGCGAGAGAGAGAGAGAGAGAGAGAGCGAGTGAGAGAGAGAGAGGCAAGCGAGACAGAGAAACGGATAAGGCTTCGCTTTTTCCAGGCTATCCCTGAAGAAGACACCGCATTCGGCACTTCCGGAAGTCTGGGCCCGCCGGAAGGTTTTGGATCCGGCAGTGGCTTCGGAGGTGGAGGCGGCGGTTTCGGAGGAGGAAGCGGATTTGGAGGTGGCAGTGGGGGCGGCTTCGGGGGTGGAAGCGGAAGTGGATTTGGAGGCGGAAGCGAAGCAAGCTTTGGCAGCAAAAAGTAGGGAAATGTCTGTGTTCTCTAACATATTCACAGCGGCCCAAAAGCCTTTGGCATTGGTTCGTACAATCCGACAAAAGATGAGGAGCGCTCGGCAACTGAGAAACCTACTGGATATCAAGAAATTAAGGTAGTGAGAGAGAGAGAGAGAGGGAGAGAGAGACAGAATGAAAGATAGATTGAGAGACAGACAGAGAAAGCGAGACAACATCTCGTTGTTTAGAGCTTCCCATACCCAGAAGAAAAGGTTTCAACCACGCCAACCGAAGAATCGGCTTTTAAAGGATCCTGGGCCAAGGAAACGACCACACAACCGACAAGTATCAACGTTTTCAAGACGCTAATTTACTTTTTTTTTGCAGCCACAACCGCTCAAAAATGGTCCAAAGAATACGCGAAGAAGTACTACCAGGAGTACTACGAGGAGGGCTGAACAACCAGACAAAATTGCACGAGAAAAAGGAGGAGAAGACAGTGGCGGTGGATACGGTATGTTATGTTTAAAGGGTAGGATGTCGGGGGTTATCAATATCTTAATATCATACCAAATATCTTATATCAATCCTGGCACGGTGCCGTAAAATAGCCTCAAAAATTTACCCTTTCAGAGCCTAAAACAACGCCCAAAGCTGATGCCGACCGGTGAATCTGCTCCTCCACCGACCCCGGTGCCCAAGGATACTGTAGGCGCACATTCACCAGTGCCACTTTTTGCTGCCCTATTTACGCCAGCCCCTGGAGTGGCAGCAGGAGTGGCTGTGACGCCGGTAAGTAACGTAGGCCTCGCCAAGCCCAAGGCTAAAAGCTTAGCCCGGGGTTAACCCTAGGCAAAGCCTAAGCTAAGGCTAAGCTAATTCTAAGACAAATCTCGGCAAAGCCTAGGTCAAGCCTAAGCAAGCCCGAGCCGACACAAAGCGAAGTTAAGCCCAAGCTCACGAAGCTAAATCTATGCTAGGCCTGAGCTAAAATGTAGAGGTTGTCAGGTCACAAGCTCCAAGCCGGCTCAAAATTGGTGGAAAATCGGAATAAAATACGGGGAACACGATGCGATAAAAATTATCTGCTAATGGGCAGTTTTGTTTAATAAAATTTTAATTTTAAGATTTTGTATGGAAAACCCACCTAGATTCGCAGCGAGCCTGGCCAGAACCGGGGCGCCGAGGCGCGAGCTCTTGAAGCCTCCCCAAGGGCCCCGGCCCGTCGGCCCGGTGGTGTAGGGGTAGGGTGCGAGGAATTTATCTTTTTATCTTTTTTTGCTTTTTGCCGTTTTTGCTTTTATTTTGTAGGGAGCGCGTCTAGAATAGTTTTTATAATATTTTTCGGTCCTATTAATCAGTAGCGGCCGCCTCGACAAAAAAATAAATTACAAAATTTTGGAAGTTTTTGCAAAAAGGGCCTACCTACCTATTCCGACTCCATGAAAATCGACAGGATGGTTAATACAGATTACTTTTTGTACAGGTATTGTAAAGAAGAAGTCATTATCGGTATCTGGAATCTAGAGCGGCTCTGATTTTAAACACCTGGGGTCAGAATAATTATTTTAAGCAGCTGCTAACCCCACCTAGCGGCCAAGGCGTATGAGTAGGTCGTCAAAATTTTCGGGAAGAATTTTTTTAAATAAAATACGGGTGTGGGAAAGTACCTAGTGTCGTACTTTCCGTGACAATTCGATCGAAACATTTATTCAGAGACGGAAAGCCCGGTTAATCCGCTGAAAGTCCATTTTACCTTCATTTTTTACTTAAAATTAAAAGTTTATTAAAAAAAGTGCCCATTAGCAGATAATTTTTATCGCATCGTGTTTCCCGTATTTTATTCGATTTTTCCACCAATTTTCAGCCGGTTTGGAGCTTGTGACCTGACAACCTCTACATGTAAGCTTGAGCCAAGTCTAAGCAAGGTAAGTCTAAGCATAGGATCATAGAAAGCGTAGCCTAAGCTAAACCTAAGCTAAGTCTAAGCTAAGCCTAAGCTGGGACTAAGCTAAGGCCAAGATAAGTCAAGCAAAGCCTAAGCCGCTTCTTTTCAGGCCCCTCTACCCACCCGAACGATGCCACCACCACAACCCGTGCAACAACCCCAATATCTGCCCGTCCAGCCCCAAGTTCAACCCCAACCCGCGGCGCCCACTCAACCTCAGCAATTCCCGGCCCCATTCCCGAACCCCTTCCAGATGCCGCCGGGCATGATGCCGCCCGGTGGTCTCCCACCTGGAATGCCACAAGGACAAGGACAGGGGAATATGTTTGTAGGTTTTTCAAAAAATTTCGATTCTCAACGGGATGTGCTAAAAAATATACACCTACCGTGCGTAAAAGGGTCCGTTTTTTGCAACCTAGGGTTTTATCTTCGGGGTAGTCGTTTCAGAGTTGGTACCATTTTTTAATGGATAATCTTGAGATATTTTCAGGGAATCCTCGATCCACGTATGGGCCAACGCGGTGATCTCACCTTCCAGCAATTACTAAACCAAATCTGCACCTCCATCCGAACGGCGTCCAGGTAACGATTAAAACCACTACCCATTAGCAACTCTCAAAATTCTTTGGGAAGCCTTCGGCATCCCGAGGACATCAAGGGTTTCGCCAAGATGAACTGCGGCTTCATCTCGGCATTCTACAAGTAAGGCCATGGATTTAGCAAAAAAATAGCAAATGCAAAATGCCCACTACCCATCCACAAGCTTTTTCGGCAAAAAGCAAAAACTAAGCCCAATGCGGGGCTCGAACCCGCGACAACCAGATTAAGAGTCTGGTGCTCTACCGATTCGAGCTAACCGGGCGGCGGGCAGGGCCGGAGGGGCCGGTAAAGGGTGGGGAGGGCCCTAGGGCGGAGCACTCAAGGGGGTGAGTGGCAGAGAGGTAGGGAGATAGAGAGTGCTAAAGGCAGTGGGCGCCTAGGCATGCGGGCTCTGCTATCTAAATCTTTTTGGGCTTTAAAAGCTTAGGAACAGCTCAGCGAAAATATATATTTAATACCTTGGAAAAATTGACATAAAAGGCATTATAAAGCGGACGTTAAATAGCTTTATAGAAGGGAAACACTGCGACAAGAACGTCTAAAAAACTATGAAATCTATTAATAAACGCTTTTAGCCCTAAAATGTTATACACAAATTCATTAAAAAGCAAGTTTAAAAAAGGTGCTAAAAAGTAATACATTAAATGGATTTATAAACACGGCGTTAAATGGCTTTTTAAAGAGCCAAAACTGTAGATAATTACCGCCCAAAACTCAATAGAGGTCTGCTGGCTTGGTAAGGTTTGGTGCCATAGAAGCTTTACAATAACGTCATTAAATAAAATAACTGTAT